AAGGCTTTAATTTTAAGGGAATGGTTCCTGCTCATAGACGACTAAAAGATTTTAAACTTAACTCTTCTAATGTGGCCTTTTTTTGCGGACCAGCGACTTTCCATTTATCGGGTCACTGAAGTCGACACCTACAACTGACATACCACATAGTTGCATAATTAACTTCCCGAACTTCGAGGGACAGTATTTCGCAGGGTTAGCTACTTTGATTCCTTGCGATCTTGCTACGGCACGAAAAGTGCAAAAACGCATAATCGTCATAGGGTTAGCTACATTGACTCCTTGCGATCTTGCTACGGTACGAAAAGTGCAAAAACGCATAATCGCTCGCCTGGTGCGTTCCAGCCTGGGTTATCCTTATCAAACGGGACCGTACGTGTTACCCGCAGGTACAGGAAGGCCAAATTTAAGTTTGCGGAATCACACGTGGGTGGGGAACAATCCCCTAAATTTTCAGCTCCCTAGCTTTTGTGGTTCCCGAGTTGAAAGTTACGGGCAATTTGCTGCGGACACACACACACACACACATACACACACATACACACACAAACGCACACACAGACACACAAACACACACACAGACAACCCCGTGACAATATGCGTTTTGTACTGTTGTTACACAGCATAAAACGCACAATAATCGAATAAGAGATAAGGGATCAGTTTGAGTGTCATGTGCAAGAAGACATGTTTGGATGTTTTTCGTGTTTCATCCCTTAGCTGTAAGTGCAGACCGATCACAGCTTTCAGCTGAGCCCTCAAGCAAATATTGAAAGAATCAGAGATGGCCTTGCTGGCGAGTGATTGTTGTTGTCATGTGCTACCACTCGGTTTATTTCCGACTGCCTTACTTTTATACAGTGTGTGAATATTGAGGGGATTTTATTCTGCTCAATTTTCTTATTTTACTTAGAAACTCCCCTTTCCCTTTACAATTGCAGAAGCCGAGGAGCTCAAATTTTTGTGCCTCTTTGCAACGTTGATAGAATGCGAAGATGTGTCTGGCGATTAGTGATTGGTGTATGATCGGGTAATCTCCTCCGAAAAAGTCGAAAAGCTGCAAATCTGTGGTTTTTTCTGGTCTGTGGATTGTCCGAAACGTGTAAAATCAGCCCCCTCCCCGGTATACCTGTACTTCAAATATATCTCACTTGACTTACGCATCTGTTGCGATGTGCCGCAGCTACTAAAACTCGGCCACCTCTAAAAATTCGGCTCGGCTGCACAATATACACTCATTGTTTGGTCAGACTCGAGTTGCGAAAATCGTGGTACCGATTTCTTCTCTTGATAAGTTCTCAGGTATCGCTTTCGAAGGTGCTAAATTCCCATCAGCACTAATTTTCATGCCGGGCCTTCAAAGCCCATACGGTTTTTCCGCGTCGACCGAGTCGAGTTTTAGCAGTTATTTCGATAGGGCCCGTTTTTAGCTCGCAATAGTAATTCGCCTATTCGTGTAAGCTGCCTGCTGCATTTGGAAGGTTGGAGTGGTGCCCAGGGTTAGGGGTCTGTGCTCACCT